AAAAATTAGATATTTTGCGTATGAAAGCATTGTAAGTTACGTAAATAAATTTACACACAATATTCATTATGGAATGTATTTACTCCAAACTTTAAAATGGTTCTCACAGTAGCAGTAGTGGTTTGTACCTCATAATGTCTATATCTTCACCCCACCCGAAACACAGAGAACAGTAAAAAAGTAGGTTACTTTAGGTGTCTTAGTTTATTCATACACCAGTTTTAATAATTGATATTACAAATTTTGTACTTGTAAAAAACTTTAGTAACAATTTTGGTAGCAGACCTATCTATTCTTTCAACTGAAAAACTCTGAAATAACTCCCAAATAAATAATTGAACTTTATCGTCTGTAAATATAACTCATTCGATAAAACTCGCCTTTTAATTCCTTATATCTTGAGAAACACTGGATAATCACAGAAACCATAAATGTGCACCAACCCTTGATTTCTGCATGCATGTTTGGTTGCAAACTATTCTTAAATTGATTTTTGTTGGTTGTTTCTAGTTTTAATTTTCAGTTGATTTCAGTAACTGTAAGGCCAGCCTCCTCTCTTAACTTGGCTGTTTCTGTCACAAGCACACAGAAACTGTAGAGATAAAAAAGACCCAAGAGGCACAAGTTCTTTCTTTTTCTGTTAGTGTGCAAGAAGGGCTCACATGGAACTGATAAGAAGGATTATTTTTCCTACCAGTTCAACACATTAATTACAAATACTTAATATTGTTTTGTTTTGGTGTATTGTGTTCGTCTCTGTTTGTGTTTATTTTAATAAATATTGTTATTTATACATTTTATGTATTGCTTCTTTCTTATTGACGAAGTTGATCAAAGAATAAAGAGAGAGACGTGATCATATGCTATAACGTGATATTATCCACACCTCCAGTTGGTAAACTTTAACTGACTGCCGACCAAAAGAAAAGGGAAGCTAAACTAATAAAAAGTAGTCCTATAATGTTAAAATGTACAATTAAAGAAAAATAATGTTAAAGTGTCTAGTTGAATTAGGTCTTACTAAAGGTAAATCTTTGCAAAATCTGTACCAAAACCTACTTCATAGAAAATAACCTGGCATTTAATAACAAAATGGAATAATACAAACATAGCTAAGCTGCTATCACACTGCACTTTGGAGTCCATAGCCATTATCTGTTTTAACAATAAAAGTTATCTATCTCAAGAAGTCACAAATAGAGTAACAGTTATCTTTTCCAAAGAACATGGCTAAGGCCAATTAGTGGATCTATATTTCATATGCATCAGAGTCAGGAAAGTTGAGTTGTTTACTTGAGTGAATCTCTGTGTCCAGACTAAAAAAATTAAACATATAGAAATTTTAAACTATGGAGTAGTTAACACATAGTACTATTGCACCACAAGGATACGACCTCCCCTTTTTGTTTTTTGTTTGAAATGATCACCAGTATCATAGGTAGCACAAGAACCCTGAAAATAACAACATTGGGAATGGTATGTACATGTATACTGAATGGATTGTATAAAATTCACAAACTTTCTAACAGTACTCTAGGTATTCTAACTGGCTTTATTAGGTTTAACTGGTCCACTCCAAGGACATGTATATGTACGTCAATTACATCTTATCAGTTGTTGATGTGAATTTTTTAAACTACACAACTGTGTTGTGCTTGAAGTGAGGAAAAAAGGAAGCAGGATGGTCTGTGAAATTTGTAAAGATGGGTAATACATTTCTTGTTTTTCATTTGCATTCTTTATTTATTATTATAAAAATAACTAAAAGGTAAAAATTATAAATTTATTAGATTAAATAAAATAAGATAATGAAAAATAATAACAGTACACGTTACCCTATTGATTTACAACTTGTGTAGCGGGATTATTAGTCAAACACAGTTCAAAGAGCAATAAAGAAATAAAATTAAATATAAACAAATGTATACTATTATGAGTTATATTATGAAAATTCTGGTGGTTACTTTGCAATTACAAACTTGGTTACATTGACCAAGCCCACAGTGAGAGGGTTCATTTGCTCCACCAGTATACTACTTTGTCTCATTCCTACCTCGCTCTTACATGGCATTTAAAATATACAGAAATAGTTTATTTCCCCAGTTCCTTGCCACCGTAAATATTTATTACATCATCTTTTGAATATTATCCTTCTTAGAAGCTTACGGTTTACTAAAAGGTAGCGAGATGGTTTTGGGGACCTGCTGAAAAGAAGTGGGATTGCATCCTATCCATTTCATTCAAGCACCATGTATTTGCACATATGTGTAATACCAAGCACATCTCCGTAATTGAAAACAACAATTTTTGATTATATTACTCTTAGAATGTACATAATCTTTATATCAATCCAGAAAAAACCATAAAAATTAATGTGTTTTTCGATTAAAATTTTGATAGCGACCAAAAGGGAAATATTTCGTCAGAGTTTGTTTGGATCATTTCTGCTATTCGCATGTTCCAGGACCCCCTTTTCATTTCAGACGTTATAAAGATTTCACATAATGTGTAAAAATAGGCTAGAGGTCCTCATAAAGATAGAAGGAAGATTGAAATAAAGAAGATATTTTCGCGAGACATAGCACAACTACGGTTTTATGGGTCAAATATAGGAAGGTACGTTTGGTGAAAAGGTAAAATAAGAAAAATGCTTAAAATTAAAATCGGCCCTATTGGGCTAATTATATTATTTCTTGCTATTCTAGTGGACCCAGGAACTTCTTAGCTAGTCAAGACCGACCGATGTGGATTTTGGAATCTGACTGAATAATATCGTTGCGTCAGCGAGGTCACGTGACTCGTTCTC